CATATCTTTTATTTTCCGAAAATATTTAATCCCGTCTTCAGGATCTCAATGGTTTCAGAATCAAAATGGACCGAATATAAATGTATTACTTTTTTTCCATTAAAAGCCATAATCACAACATTATGTACGACCAATTTAGGATGATAATTGATTAACGATAGTAAAGAATGTATAAATTTTTAAATGCACGCTAATCTAAAAGTGACACTGGTCCTCTTATCCTTGAATGCATTACTATACGATTGCATCATTATAGGACGGAATGAGGCTTGAACTTAGCAACGAACTATGCACAAGGAAGCCAGTCATTAAATATAATTGAAAAGAAATAATGATTTTTCAAATTCACTTATTGTAAAATGCAAAAAGTACGTATAATATAAATTCGCCGAGCGCAGTCATGGGGCGAATTGGGTTACAAATAAGCTCAGAGGAAATGCATTTCTTGTACAAAAATATATACAAGGAGAATACGTTAACACAGGAGTTTAAGAGAGTTGGAAACATCAATTTTCTTTAAAGCGTATCGGAAGGTTGGTGACTAAAACGAAAAACATAAACGAGAGTTGATCACTAATTCATAATCATCAATGCATAGTGATATATAATCAAAAAACCCAAAATATCCGAATAAAAGGTGCTTATTTTTATTAGTCGAAAGGTCTCTACTTATGTGACCTCGCTTTAGCAACTGAGTCGCATCTCAGGAAAGAATATGAAGAAGTTACGAATCTACAGAATACGGAACTGAAAATCAATGAGGTTATCCGAGAGTGAATAGATTACTTAAATCGTTTGACATTTCGATCGGAAGGCTGTGATAAGTCTTAGCAACATAACGATAGTAATATAGGAGCATGTTATGCATGATACATTCTAGTCTTCTTATCGGTTGAATAACGCTGTGAAATCTGCTTGAGTTAAGATCATCAAGAGCATGCCATAGGATTTCTTGAGAATAGTGGCCGATTGGCCACGAAAATTTTTTCAAATAGACAAAATAACGAAATAAATCATCAATTATTCACAGATTATATTTGAACCACTAATGGATTGGAAAGAATGAGATGAAGATGTAAGTATCTTAAATTATACTAGCAGAAAGTTCTTGTTAGGAGTCATCGCTGTGCTTGATTTGTACATGTCTCTAGAATAATCATTTAAATTTAACTAAGCGTGAGAAAAAGCTCGTACGCGGATTAATTTTTGTCATAGAAAACCAGGTGAAAAGGCATCAAAGTTATCATACTAAATGCTTTACAATTTTGCAATAAAAATATCTATCAAAAAATATTTTGTCAAGAGCTATATTCAAAGTGTGAGTTTATTTTGAAGTAAAACTTACACTTAGGAGCTGCTACTGTGGTACACGTTCCGGTCCCAGTTACATTCAACGCAACTGTAGAAAGAAGACTGCCTGGCCGGCAAACAGAGACTGCAGTTACTGGAGTGGCCGGCTTCACACGAATCATTGAGGCTGCGCCACCCGGCTGGGCGACGACATGTAGAGCACCGGCACTAGCATTTATAGAAGAGCCGATTGAGTGGCCTAGCGTAACCCCAGATTCAGAGACGACAGAGGCCGTGGCTCCGGCAACTCGAAGGACAGTGGGCAACTGGTGATTACTCGATGTCAAACCTGTAGAAAGTATACCGGCCTACAATAATCGTATGGCAAAGCATAAACGGATGTATTGACCAAATAATGACGAAAATCGAATTTGCTACATTAAAATAAGATTATCGTAAAACGATTTTATAATATAGATTGTCCACCTATCGTCTGAATCTGATAATACCAATGAAAAATATGAAACCTATAGAACATGAAACACACCAAAGGGAATATTAC